GGCCGATCAACAAGGACAGGGCACCGTATAATATCCCAACAGGAAATGTTTACCGATTTTAGTTTAAATCGAAGGTCGTGTATGGTTATTATTTCCAGACGTGAGTCACTCGAAATTACGTTTTTCAAAACGTTAAAAATTTTTTAATTTCGGTTTTTTTTTTCATTCGGAAGCCAGTTCAGACAAAATTCGGGACCTCACATTCAGTAGAATACGTTCTAAAATGAACATTTTGCTGACTCTCCATTTATCGCGATCGCGTTGCCGTCACCTGATGATTGATAGAGCAACGATTGCGTTGTTCTATGTGCCTACACATTTTACGGGCATAAGCAATGAAGGCCCTGCAGTGGCCAAGCGGTTCCGTTCTCTGAATACTGGGCGTTCGATCGTGGATTTGCGCCTCGCTAGAACTGGCTGACCACGTGGGGTTTTCTGGCTTTTCTCCACGTCTGTAACGCCAGTTACCCTTTAAAAAACCTCCCGGAAGACATCCCCGCCAGTTAGATCGCCCAAGTGTTGCGTTGCCGTAACTTAACTGAACAAACAAACAAATAAGCAATGACAAAGGCGATTGAATCACCCGCAAATCGCAGTAAGTGCAAAACCAAACGAAATTGTTAAGATTTTAAATTTTATTTTTGTACTCAGGAAACCATAATTGCATTTTATCTATGACAAATATCGGAAATGTCGTCTCTATTTTCTCATGCGTTTATGGTGGAGTGCACTATGTAAGAGCGTGTTAAATTTTCTAGGGACATTCGCACTTGAATGATTTTCTTACACAATATCTCAGTTTCAGTCTCATGCACTCTAATCTGCAAATTCCTACAACTTCTTTGGGTTCACATGGTCTGATACGACGATTCTTGATTATCACGCGCTGGCGTTGCTTACCACTGCCTTTCCTTCTACTGGTTTTCTGCGATGATTCTACTCCATAGAACATTTCTATAAAAGAGATAGCATCCGCTATTACGGTCGCAAGATATAAATATAGATAAAGAAAGAAAATCCACTCACCGCTGACACAAATGAAATACACCAAAAGAATCACCTGCAATTTCTTCATATTTATTTACTAACAACTCTTGTACCGATATAGATTCAATACGAATGCATGTTGGTTATTCGCGTATTTATATACATTTACATCCGTAATAAATAGGACCATTAATTTAAGCAATTTCAAAAATTTGTAATTAAACAATTATGTAACTAAATAACATATTGGATTTTTTAAAATAATGTATCAAATAACACATAATCTGTGTTATGAAGACTACACCGGTCGACGAATGTTTGGACTATAAAAAGTGTAGTGTTTAATGGCCAAAGTAAAATTCTGCGTAAAATTTACTATTTGCATCTGTCCCGGATACCACGATAATTCGGAAGGTGGCATTTAAGAAATCCAATCGCAGAGTAGCAACTACTTCCTCTTATAAACGTAATTTGTGAATCCAATAATAAACGTTTTTTTTTTTATTGTAAAATGACGTTGTCGTTAGTCGGGTCGTCTCCATTTAAAAGTTACGATAAACTTCGTTCCACCTTGTCTCAGAGTTGCCAGAGAAACGATATTTATTTGGGGTGCGTTTCAAATTTCTAACCGGTGTTGCCGGTAACTGCTGGTAATTACTGGAGCCTTTAGAAAATGTAATCTGAACAGTCGCGTTTAAAAATCACGATTATGACATCACTGATTGTTCTGCAGTACTTAACGAACTAACCGCGGTGACAAACTGGAAGTCAAACTGACCATGAACAAAAAGCCTTATCCCAAATTTCAGATGAGGCAGGACAGCATGTTCGATGGCCAGCATTCCGATTATTGAAGTACTGTTGTTAAATACATCGAGAAGAGACAGGTACGAGATTTCTGCAACAATTCGCTCTCTATCTCCTATCTGTATTAATATGGAGGTTATAGTGTAATCGCTTAACCTCCGAAGAGCTTTTTCGTTTCACGATAAGAAATTATTCGCGAAGAGCCGAGGTAAATGCCTTCCGGGAGGTCTTTTAAGTGTAATTGCCACTATTTAGGCGTTAGAGACGTGGAGAAAACCCAGAAAACTTGAAGCGGTCATCCCTTTCTAGCGAGGCGCGAACATGGCCGAACTCCTACAGCCGATTGCAGAGACAGAGTTTACGTTAAACGACGTTTATCAACAGAACGGCCTGTAGACGTTGGCTGGCTGAACCGCGGTTTAAAATGCATTGCAAAGACGACGATAGTCTATTTCTGACAGTTCTCTAAACTTCGGCAAAACATTGGCTCTTACTTACTTCGCTATTACTCCCTTGTTTTAGGAGTCGTTCGGCCATCGGGTTATTTGTTTGTGACGGCAGAAATGGTCACTAGCTATTGTGAGATCCGAATAGTCCCTGGATCTAAATAACAATTTATATCAAAAATTTAAAATAATAATGAAAAATATTCTTTTATTTTGGTGGGAAAATAACGTTTTTCTAACGTGGGAAAACGGATGAAAAAGCCACTTCCTTCGACGGAAGTAGAACCATCCTCTGTTTTTCCCTTATCTGTAAAAAAATCTCTCCACGATGGGAAATATCTACCCTTATTTATCCCCCTTCCCATCCGTTCACGTGGAAGAATCCTAGTATGATGATTGGTCGTAAATAAGGGGAGAAAGGCTAAGTTTAGCCGAATTCGGGGAGTTCGTCGACAGATCTGAGAATGACAGCACTCCATTCATTTGTCTCTAAGGCTCACGCCCTTAATAGTTCGTCAACAGATCCCAGATGTGGAAGGCGAAGTCCATACAAGCTCCAGAAGGCCAACGCCTTATGCTATGAGCAATACAGTATACAAAAGGCTTATTTCGATAGACATAAATATTATCAGTTAAGTTGATCTCTTCATGAACAGAAGGCAGAGAACTCCAGGAGAGAAGTAAATACGTCAAATACAGAGGAAGATAAGGACAACTAAACAGGTTGTATGTTTATCTTTGAAATTGTGAGCTCTCTCTCTCGACATATATATTTTAAGTTGAATTTATTGTCTCTCATTCATTTGTAACTCCATTTTTGTATAGTTTTACATATATATATGTTTATTAAATTCCTTTTATTATTAGTTAATATAATGTCTCCTCGGTCTCTGAATCAGACCCCTCACGCGTGTTAATCCGCGTATCCAAATTCGATTAACTGGTATCTAAAAATCCTGACAGAAGGAAAAGGGTGATTACACGATCATCTAATTCCGATTTAAATTAACTTATTAGTTAAAGCCCTCCACACTCGTTTCCCTAAGTTCGGGAAAAGGCGATTCTTGAGGACAACCGAGAACTATTCTCACGGAATAGTTTGCCGATTAAGTGGTATTAGCTATCTTAGTAGATAAGTACCCCCGGCTGATCTCACACTATATTCCGAAAGCTTCCAGAAATAAAATCTTTAGGCCATCAAAACAATTGTTCGGCAATTAATGACAATCCTTTTCCATTTCGATATTTAATTTATCAAAGGACCGATATATGTTTTTATCTAAACTTTTCCACGATCAAAGCTACCACTCGAATTGAAAACCCTCTAAACCTCCTGTCGAATGAGTCTAGAAAATAGGTCAAATAACTTGTTTCTAATCGCTGTCTACATCGTGGGAGACAAGAAACGCCGTCTCTGCAATGAAATTTTTCTGAACAGCGATCTACCCGATCTGTAAACCGCCGTCTGTGTCTAAACGTTGTCTCTGCAATAGGCTGTTAGTGTTCAGGGAATGGAACTGCTTGGACACTGGTGGGTCTTCTACAACAACTGCACGTTGGATTGTTTTTCAGTGTTCTTCAACGAAAAATTTTCAGTGATAAACACTGATTCCGCTGTTTGAGATAAAAAAGAATTAATTTATAATCAAGTAACGATTTTTAACGATTTTTTTAAAACTTTTTTCGTCTTTTAAAAACTAAGATGGTCGTATTTAGGGTACGTTCGTAAAGTCGAACGAGTTAAACGAGAATGACGTCATCGTTATTCTTATTTCGTTAGAATTTTCAAACGATTCCTTTATAACTAAATGGATGTTTCTAAAATCGAAGACGTGAATTGTCGCTAGTGCAGCCTTATCCGAAATACTTTTTTTAGATTGTTTCGGGTGGAAGGTTATTTCATTTTTTAATTCACAATTTAAACACTCGAGTAGATTTAAAAACATCGATATCGTCGGGCGCCATTTTCTTAACGAAGTAAACTAACTCTTTCCTTCGTGAACTTCGTTACAGTTTCGTTCGAAACGTCATCACCGCAGAGCATGCTCACTGAGCGACACTACTACTTTTCGAACGATTCGGTATTAACGCGTTTAACTCGTTTCATTTACGAACGATTTAGATTCTGTCGACCGCAATGGCGGAGGCCGATCAACAAGGACAGGGCACCGTATAATATCCCAACCGGAAATGTTTACCGATTTTAGTTTAAATCGAAAGTTGTGTATGGTTATTATTTTCATACGTGAGTCACTCACAATTACGATAATTAAAACGTTAAAAAATTTTTAATTTCGGTTTTTTTTGCATTCGGATGCCACTTCGGACAAAATTCGGGACCTCACATTCGGTAGAATACGTGCTAAAATAAACCTTTTGTTAGCTCTCCATTTATCGCGATCGCGTTGCCGTCACCTGATGATTGATAGAGCAACGATTGCGTTGCTCTATGTGCCTACACATTTTACGGGCATAAGCAATGAAGGCCCTGCAGTGGCCAAGCGGTTCCGTTCTCTGAATACCGGGTGTTCGATCGTGGATTTGCGCCTCGCTAGGACGGGCTGACCACGTGGGATTTACCGGCTTTTCTCCATCTCTGTAACGCCAGTTACCCTTAAAAAAACCTCCCGGAAGACATCCCCGCCAGTTACATCGCCCAAGTGTTGCGTTGCCGTAACTTAACTGAACAAACAAACAAATAAGCAATGACAAAGGCGATTGAATCACCCGCAAATCGCAGTAAGTGCAAAACCAAACGAATTTCTTAAGATTTTAAATTTTATTTTTGTACTCATGAAACCATAATTGCATTTTATCTATGACAAATATCGGAATCGTCGTCTCTATTCTCAATTGTCTTTATCGTGGAGTGCATTATGTAACAGCGTGTTAAATTTTCTACGGACATTTGCACATAAGCGAATCTTTTACACAATATTGCAGTTTCAGTTTTTTGCACTGTACCTTGCAAATACCTACAATTTCTCTCGGTTGACATTCCCTGATACGACGACCCTTGTTTAACACGTCCGTCATTTTCCCGTCACTGGTTTTTCCCGACGATTCGACCCCGTCGAACATTTCTATAAAACAGATAGCCACAGCTATTACGGTCGCAAGATATAAATATAGATAAAAAAAATAAAATCCACTCACCGCTGACACAAATGAAATATACCAAAAGAAGCACCCGCAATTTCTTCATATTTACTTACTAATGTACGAATACAGATTCAATGCAATTACAGATTAGGCGTTTATCTATTTATATAAGTTTATTTCCTCAATAAATGAATGTCACCGGAGGGTCGGCACTTTTTTCATGCCGCGTCAGCATGACATGAAAAAAGTACCCTCCCGTTGGACACAGAAGCCGCGACGGCCTATTCCTTTGTTTGAAATTAGGTAACGCGTGTGTAACCGTGTAGCCAAACAAAAGAGAATCTTGATCTTAGTGATAAAATAAAATTAGCAGTGTCGTATATCGGTTTCTGCCGCTCGAGGCAGATACCAACAATGCTATCTTTCCCCCTACAAAATATGATATTATTATAAAGCTAAAATTTAATTACAAAAACATGTTTTGAAGTCTAATATTAATAAATTATTATCTAAAAAGAGTATTACTGTTTTAAAAAAATTATTGTTAATCGAAAATTATAAAAAATATTATAGCAATATCTTTAATATCACTATCAATATCTATTGCATCAGTCATTTCTAGCTCAATAGCCGAAATAGCCACAATAGTCAATCTTAATGTACTCATTGTCATAATAATTTCTCAACTACTGTACATTGAGGACCACAACTTCAATTTAGAGCACGTATCTTATCCCATTGACAAAGAATTATTCAAGCTCGAACGGGTGTGGCTAAGGTCTTTGGTTACTGCCACAGGCAATAAAAATTAATTAACGAATTCAAGCCCAGTTGATTTTTTATAATTTATTAGGCGATTTAAGCTGCAAGTTATCCTGCCTAATCTATATATATAATCGAGACGGGTTGATAATAATAATAATAATAATAAGCGCAAAGCCCAAACGGTTAGGAGTTGAAAGTTGAAACTTAAAATTTGGTACACAGTTAGTGTACGTCACGAGAATGCACAATAAGAAGGGATTTTCGAAATTCCCCCCACGAGGGAGAGAAAAAGAATTAAGGCTTACCCAGAAGAACTCTGATTCTACTGCACTATTTTAGATGCGGTTTTTTGCGTTTTTGATTTGCGGTTTAATGCGGTGCGTACGTACATTAAAAAGAGATTTTTCGTAATTTCCCCTGCATGGGACAAGTTGTTAACAATGGAAGTGTTAAGAATGAAATTGTTAACAATGAAAGTGTTAAGAGAAAGCAGCGTGCAAGATTAACAGGCAGAGATGCGTTTTTTTTTTCTTTTGCGTTTTTGTGTGAAATCGATCGTATTTTTAGACCCATCTAAAAGTTCTCTAATTAGTCTAGAAACAGGGTGACTAATTCTTGCATTCTGTGAAAACGGGCAAGATTGGCTGTAATGTAATAACCTTAATCTTCGCTATCGTTACTTTTTGCTCGAGCAACGCCGGGCTTATTTGCTAGTATAATAATATTGTTTTGAACATTCCTCATAAATGCCATAAGCAATGCCCGCTGTGAAAGAACATTCTCTAAACTGAAGTTAATCAAAAATTATTTACGATCGACAATGAGTACATTAAGATTGACTATTGTGGCTATTTTGGCTATTGAGCAAGAAATGACTGATGCAATCGATATTGATAGTGATATTAAAGATTTTGCTATAATATTTATTATAATTTTCGATCAACAATAAATTTTTTTAAAACAATAATACTATTTTTAGATAATAATTTATTAATATTAGACTTTAAAACATTTTTGCAATTAAATTTTGAAATTAAATTTTAGCTTTTGCAATTAAATTTTGCAATTAAATTTTGCAATTAAATTTTGCAATTAAATTTTAGCTTTATAATAATATCATATTTTGTAAAGAGAAAGATGGAATTTTTGGTATATGCCTCGGGCGGCAGAAACCGACATACGCCAATGCTAATTTTATTTTATCACCAAGATCAAGATTCTCTTTTGTTTGGCTACACGGTTACACACTCGTGATCTAATTCCAAACAAAAGAATAGGCCCTCGCGGCTTCTGTGTCAACGGGACCTAGTAGTGTCATGCTGACGCGGCATGAAAAAAGTGCCGACCCTCCGGTGACATTCATTTATTAAGGAAATAAACTTATATAAATAGATAAACGCCTAATCTGTAATTGCATTGAATCTGTATTCGTACATTAGTAAGTAAATATGAAGAAATTGCGGGTGCTTCTTTTGGTATATTTCATTTGTGTCAACGGTGAGTGGATTTTATTTCTTTATCTATATTTATATCTTGCGACCGTAATAGCTGTGGCTATCTGTTTTATAGAAATGTTCGACGGGGTCGAATCGTCGGGAAAAACCAGTGGCGGGAAAACGACGGACGTGAAACACAAAGATCGTCATGTCAGGGAATGTCAACCGAGAGAAATTGTAGGTATTTGCAAGATACAGTGCATGATACTGAAAAAGCGATTTTGTGAAAAAAAATCACTCAAGTGCAAATGTCCGTAGAAAGTTTAACACGTTTTTACATAATGCACTCCATCATAAACGCATTAGAGAATAGAGACGACATTTCCGATATTTGTCATAGATGAAATGCAATTATGGTTTCATGAGTACAAAAATAAAATTTAAAATCTTAACGATTTCGTATGGTTTTGCGCTTACTGCGATTTGAGGGTGATTCGATCGCCTTGGTCATTGCTTATTTGTTTGTTTGTCTAGTTAAGTTACGGCAAAGCAACACTTGGGCGATCTAACTGGCGGGATGACTTCCGGTAGGTTTTTTTAAGGGTAACTGGCGTTACAGACGTAGAGAAAAGCCGGAAAACTCTACATGGTAAGCCTGACCTAGCGAGGCGCAAATCCACGATCAGATCCGCAAATCCACGATCACCCGGTATTCAGAGAACGGAACCCGCTTGGCCACTGGAAGGCCTTCACTGCTCATGCGCGTAAAGTGCGTAGGCCAGGGTGGCCAACAGTTTGTGCCCCCAGGCCGAATTGGAAAGAATACTTTTTCCACGGGCCGAAACTGAGGATGCCCTAGGAAGATTTTGAGGTGGTGCGTGATATCATTGTGGTTCACCCCAGAGACTAAATTATACCTTTTTTTTTTTTCTTTTTTTTCGGCGTCAGAATTTTCTATCGAGCTATTCGGACTTTAATACCTAATATTGAGAGATTGATCGCGGGCCACATAAATTTATTAGACGGGCCGGATCCGGCCCGCGAGCCGTATATTGGCCATGCCTGGTATAGGCGCACAGAGCAACGATTGCGTTGCTCTATGAATCATCAGGTGACGCCGACGCGATCGCGCTAAGTGGAGAGCCAGCAAAAGGTTTATTTTAGGACGTATTCTACCGAATGTGAGGTTCCGAATTTTGTCCGAACTGGCTCACGAATAGAAAAAAAACCGAAATTAAAAACATTTTTAACGTTTTAATTATTGTAATTTCGAGTGACTCACATCTGGAAATAATAACCATACACAACCATTGACTTAAACGAAGATCGGTAAACATTTTCAGGACGGAAATTATAGAGGAGAAGGTGGTATTATGGAACCCCAATTACATTTTAGTGAATTGTAAACAACGTATCATAACTACATCCACATTTTTTGTGCAAAAAGTACTGGTAACTAGTAAACTAAATTTTCCTAATTGGATTTTTCTCTAGTGTAATTATAAGTATGGTTTTTGAAGGCTTTTGTACAAAAAGTCCGAAAGTAGGCTTAGAGAAAATCGGGTGGTAATATAAAACCTTACTGTATATTTTCAAAAAAAAATGCTTTAATGTAGCCAAAAACAAATAGGAAAGGACAAAAAATGTTAAATAATTACCAAATTATTTACTCCAATGTATTTTATCGCAAAAATGCTTTTATAATAAAAAAATATGACCTCCATCAACAATATATATTCCAGCAGCTCTTTTTCGATATTCTAAGGAAGAATTGGCTTTCTACCTTGTGTCTTTTTCACAAATTGCTCTGGAGGAATGTCTGCTTGCAAATAGAAAGTTCGGAGGAGTTGAGTTCCATATTACTGTAAAAGCACCAAAGGGGTCCGTATTTCACGCAACGCCATCTTGAATTAACTTATGTCTGTCAAGACCAAATTTAAAAAACGTGAAAATCACACAGATTAATATGTACCCCTAAGTCTCTGGAACGGAAAACATGCGCAAGTGAACCTACAACTACACGATTTATATTTTAAAAATAATTAAATTCACTTAGCATTCAAAACTTGCGAATTTTGAAAAAAACAAATTTGCTGATTAAATACGGA